CGTAAGGGGAATCAAAACTGGGCTTACTCTTTGACCCTGGAATAGATCTGTGTCTTGGGATATGATCTAAGGACTAACACTTTATTCTGGGGAGTTGCCTGATACTATTCCTAAGGGGACACTGACCCTGTGTTGGAGTGTGGGGAGATCTCATTGATACTGATAAGGCTTCTTATTTATTTGTTGATTTAGCATAGGAGAAGATCTGCAGTGGGTCAGGAAACTGATTTGTGACATTGACAAGGATTCTCAGGACAATTGCCCTATGGTGGCTGGAACAGTTTAGTTTGAGGACTTTATTGCCAGAAACACCATGTCATGCATTGACTTGTTCTGTGGGATCCTTGTTCATTCTTCACACTATTACCCCGCATTCCTGTGGGAGAGCCCTGCCTAAACACCAGCACATGGGACTTTTTATCATGCATTCTTCTTGTAAGCAGGTGAGGACCTACTTTTATCTCTCTCTCTGCCTCTCATGCTAAAACAACCAGAAGGCCTCTGGCTTACTTTCATGAGTCCCTAGAAGCCTGTCATCAGAGAGCCAGTCTCACTGCAGTCATGATTTTGTTTTAGCTGCTGGTAAAAGTGTTGCATGAAATGTTGGCCATGGGCCATGCAGAAACAGGAAGAGGGAGCGCAATAAAGAGATAAAAACACGAACTCTCTGAAGGCAGTTTTAGGGACTTTGCATTTGTTGCGTGACTTGATAGCACAACAGTCCCATGAAGTGGGTTTTATATAAGGTCTTCGTATCTCACAAAGAGATGCAGCGCCTCATGCAAGTTCATCCTAGTTGGCGGCACCTTTGTCCAAGGTCTCTACATTATCGGTGCTTCTCATAGCTGCTTTATGTCCCCTGTCTTTGCAGACAGTACCACCTCACACACACTGTCCTTGGTGTGGCCTATGGGGAGGCCACTGTGCCTCACCTGACCCTAAGTTAGCATCAAAGTGACATGGAAAAGGTTCACAGTGGAAGAGAAGCCTCCACAGGTGACAGGGTGTGAAGGAAGCCCTCAAGCCCTCCAGGGCTGGCTGCAGGAGACACAGAATGAATTGGGCTCTCCCAATTCAAAAAGAGAGAACTTCAATAGAAAGTGGAAGAGAGATTGTGTCAGAGACGAGCAGGTGAATATCAATCAGCCATGTATGCTGAGGCAAGGAGGGCAAGAGAGCCAGAGAAGGGATTCATACTTGGGTGAGGCTGGCCTTGGACTCAACACTTCATGGTCATGCCCAAGCCAAAGAGGTTCCTGATCTACACAACTGGAGAAGAGTGCCAAGAAACACAGAGCATTCAGAGGAAAGCCTGGAATTTATGGAAATAAAGTCTGTGGGGACACTGCAGCAGCTTTGGTCACTCACCATGAGGAATTGTCATCTTCAGGGGATAAATGAGATGACACAGAACCTTATAGCTTTGTCTAGAAGGAGTAGGGCTTTATAGACCACTTCAAGTAGATAGAAAAAATTGATCAAATTCCCCTTAGCCTCTTTAGACATGAAATCTACTGAGTTTCTTGGTATATATGTGAAGCCAATTTGTAAACTATAAGGAGACAGGAAGAGATTTGGTCATTGGAAACCTTAAAAATTGAACTCCAAGGCTGGGCACAGTGGCTCATGCCTGTAATCCCAGCGCTTCAGGAGGCCAAAGAGGGTGGATCACCTGAGGTCTGGAGTTCGAGACCAGCACGGCCAACATGGTGAAACCCTGTCTCTACTAAAAATGCAGAAATTAATTGGGTGTGATGGCAGGCGCCTGTAATTCCAGCTACTTGGGAGGCTGAGGCAGGAGAATCGCTTGAAACTGGGAGGGGGAGTGGGGGGGACGGAGGTGGCAGTGAGCCAAGATTGTGCACTCCACCCTGGGCATCAAGAGTGACACTACATCTTCAAAAAAAAAAGGACTCCAGGGTTAAAAAGTCACCTCTACCTTTTGTTTCAGCATTCTTAAGAGACTGATAATACCTACCTTATCAATGGATGTACTTGTTGGAAGTCAATTGATAGAGAATATATAAACATACTCTGTAAACTATGAAGCATTTTATAAAACATAACTTCATATTGCACAGATATCCAGCTTTTTTTAATAAAACATGCAGAAAGAACTTATTTTGGTGTGTGATGAGTGGTAATAGCAGCTCTTAGTACTTCACTGTGATTTCTGTTCTAGCATATTTGCTCTTAAAACTGAAGAGTAAGGGGGAAAATAAAGATGAAAAATAAGCTTTGATATTTCCAAATGGAGCTTTTCAAAATGTCTCTGATGGACATGGTTAATATCAGAATGTCGAAATTGAATGTAGATGTATCAATGTGTTAAATAAAAGCCATTGTCCAGCTTAAGAATTATCTCTCACTAAAGTAGTGTCTAACTAGTAGCATTCATAATTACAATCTTTTTTACAGTATTTTTGTAAGAAAGTTGATCTCAAGAGTTACACACATAGCTTTAAGTATTTGTGTCTGCCTTGACAACAGAAATCAGTCAAGAAGGTGGCAGGTTTATTTTTCTATACGTGGGTAAATGTGATAAGATGGATGGTGCATTAAAAAATAAAGAGCAGGGCTTCTCCAAGCTGATTTACATATTGATTACTTAAATTACTACTTAATTTAGCGCCTGGTAATAAACTGTGCCTTGGAAATGTTTCCCAAGCATTTATTGGCTGCAGTAATTCTACCTACAGTGTATGCAGATCACAGCCTCATTAAATATTAATGTGCTCATGAAATGTTAATAGAATGTTAATGTGAAATACAAGGGAATGTGCTCTCTGGGAGCCGATGAAAACTACCTGTCTTCTGTCTTTTCTTTATGTACTGTCTTCTGGCTCTGTTTCTTTTTTTCAGTTCATTTCTCCCATCATCAGGAGCTTCAGATTAGCTCTCTAATCTGGCTGTCTCAGAAAACATTTAGAAGGGAAATAAAATTCACTGATTAATGGAACTTAGTTGTTCTCCCCTCCTGCTTTCCAGAATGGGTTCTCTGAAAAGGAAAAGGGTGATTCAGGCTGAGTGAAGTGAAATCCTCTGTGCTTGGGCAGACTGAGTGCATATGTTTTGGGGAGGCCAGCCCACTGCCAAACTCACCTCAATGGGCTCTGACCTTCATGTCTATCTGGAATGTTCCTTCTCATATACCTTGACATAGCAAGATCTTTCCCATTGCTTGATTCTCAATAGTCCGAGAACCTTCCTTGATCACCTGGTTATCTAAACTCCCCTCCCCAAGTATTCCCTGTTACTCTCTGTCACTCAACAAGTTATTATTTTATTTTCATAGCACTTGCGATAAACTGTGTAACTACGTCTTTTGTTTTTGTGTCCTTCAATTAGAATGAATGCTCAATGAGGTCAGGCCCTTGTCTATTTTATGGAGCTCAGCCATCTTCCTGGTAAATAATAGGTGCTCAATTAATACTGTTGACTACATGAATAAAACACCTGTCCCTGCCACTGAAGAGTTCATAGTCTGTGGAGGTGACAGAATGAGTCACTGCACAGCAGCATTGTAGATGCTACTGAGAGATGGTCATTCAAAGTGCTGTAGCTATTAAGGAAGTCCCAGAAAACTCTTACTGGGGATGAGTTTTGGAGAGGCAGCTTTAGACATGGATAACATTTTATAACTTGAGAGTTTTGTTATTTTGTTTTGCTTTTGTTCCATCTGTGTGTAGAGTAATTTCCTTAGTTGACAGTGATAGGAACATCTCAAATTAGCTTAAGAAAAGAGGATAATTTATTAGATGGACAAAAGGATTTTCAGAGGAGGGATTGAGCAACCAAAGGAGAAAGACAGGGAAGTAGCTGTGCTATAGGAACAGGGGACCAGTAGGAACAGGTGGAACCAGTCTCAAACACTTCTAGGTCTCTCGCTGCCTCTCCTCTCTGTTTTACTTTGCATTTTAGTTTTATTTTCTTTTTTTTCTAAGGGCCAACATCCGGGTAACTCCTAAACTCCTAAGTCCACACCCCAGGGGCACCGTCAGCATAGTTGAGCCAGTTTTCTTTTCTTTTCTTTTCTTTTTTCTTTTCTTATCTTATCTTTTCTTTCTTTCCTTCCTTCCTTCCTTTCTTTTCTTTCTTTCTTTTCTTTCTTTCTTTTTCTTCCTTTCTTCCTTTCTTTTCTTCCCTTCTTCCCTTCCCTTCTTTTTTTTTTTGTTGTTGTTTTTTGTTTTGAGGTAGAGTCTCGCTCCGTCATTCAGGCTGGAGTGCAGTGGCACTACCTCGGCTCACTGCAACCTCCACTTCCTGGGTTCAGGTGATTCTCCTGCCTCAGCCTGCCCTCTACCTGCGATTAAAGGCACCTGCTACTACACCCAGATGCTTTTGTTATTTTTAGTAGAGACGGAGTTTCGCCATGTTGGTCAGGCTCGTCTCCAACTCCTGACCTCCAATGATCCACCCACCTCGGCCTCCCACAGGGCTGGGATTACAGGCATGAATCACCATACCCGGCCCCAGTTTTTCTTAGTATGAAGTCTCAGGAAAGGACTCTGATTGGTCCATCATGTCACATTTTCCAGGCATGATTTATTCAACTGATGCCAGAGGGTGAAGAGCTTGTAAGAATATGGACTTCCTTGGAAAATACCCTATTGAGGTTTGAGATTGAAGTCACAGAAGGAGTTACTATTCCCAAGAAAAGAGGATAGAAATGGGAGGACGAGAGAGTTGTTTGGTCACTGAAATAAAAAAGTCTTTATTGTACTATTCCAAAACGCTCTCCACAGGCTCCTCTGTGTAAATGGGGAACCAACAAGCAAAATATCCTCTTACAGGGTTGAAGAGGGTTGTCAAAGATTTAGTGGGGGAAAATGAGACTTTTAGGTCCTATATACTTGGAGTACTATTTTGTCCTGGCCCCGGGAGTCTTCATTTGGGGATCTGAAGTGGATCTGTGTATTCACCTATTGGAATGAAGTTGATATTCTTAATGTTTTCTGCAATTGAATTGCCTTTCTAATCTGTTCCCTTTCCCATTACAGATTGTGCTTGAGAACAGTAGCCGAGAAGATAAGCATGAATGTCCCTTTGGCCGCAGTAGTATAGAGCTGACCAAGATGCTGTGTGAGATCTTGAAAGTGGGCGAGTTGCGTAAGTATACTTATTTCCCACATGGGTGTGAAGCCTGGCAGAGTCCCAGCTTCCAGGGTTGTGCCCCTACCTGTATGAAGAAATCCCAAGACGCCGACAGCTTCTTATGGTCATCACTGTGCATAGGTTGATTATTATTTGGCTCAGGTTTACAATACATACTTTTGCATGTCTGCTCTGGAAGTAAATGTGATTAAAACCTATGGGAATGGAGAAATTTACAGATATTGTGGCTGAGTTTCAAATATCATGTAAATGAGTACATATTAAAACAGGCTTGCTTCTGTTGAGGAAAAAAAAAACTATGGATTTCTTTTTTAAAATTCCAGTTTATAACCTACCAGTAGATCCTTTTCTTTCTTTCAAAGCAATTTTTCTCTATAAAGAAAAATTGAATACCTTAATGAAATTCTCTTGCTCCCAGTGTTTCTGTTGTTTGGAATACTTTCTCTAAGAAAGAAGAAATTATTAAAGAAAATAGGTAGCTGAAAATGAAAAATGTGGTCAGCAATATTTTTATTGCTCTTTTTCTTATATCACAAAATTTATGAGAGTACATACAGAAAAAGAAAGGATGAGAATTTTCTTGCCTTTCATTCATTGGCATAATTTGGCTTTAGCCTATGAAGGTGGATATGATTTAACCTGTCCTCGTTATCGTTGTTGACATTGAGTCTTCTTAAAGTGGTTTACTTCCATTCCATCCAACATTTAGAAGCCAACACACATATAAATCTTTCCTCACAGGCTTAATCACATGAGCACCAGAAAAGACTGTTTACAACAGAAAAATGTTGGGGTGTTTGGTATTACTGTGAAAATATAAATATTCAGTTGCTTGCTTGAGAGCTTAAAATAATGGCCTGAAATGATTAATGGGAGGAATCCGATGATTACATTGGACAAAGAGTTATGTTTTATTTACAGTGTAGAACTGACTACAGGTGCTGCTGAAATAAACTAGAAAATTTAATACTTAGTAAGGGAAAATACTAAGAAATTGAGCCTGCTTGGCCAAGTGGGAACCTTTATCATCTTCCAGTGAGGGCTCATGGGAGGAAGCAGCCGATGTTGACATGGACCATGAGCATTTTTGCATTGGAACAGTAGCAATGTAACCTGAGAGATCTCTGCATTCATCTACTCTGGTTTATAGCTCACCCAATGTGAACATTTCTGTTTACGTGGATCCTTGACTTGAGTTATCCTTCTCCCTAATTATACTTAACTCGCTGAGATTTCAGTCTGCAGTATCACTTACTGTTTACTCAGCTTAAGGATGTAAGTCCTAAATCAAACAAATACTGCTGAATTTCTCCATCTGATAACTGTGACTGTTTCATGTTTATCTCAATTTCATGGGAGAAATTGGTGAAGGCTGCTGGCTGGAAAGCATGTCTGGACCATCTAGTTAATTTTCAGGAACTGGAGTGAGTAGTGGTGTTCTACCAGATGGGTATTTCTGTGTCCAAGGTACTGCTCTGCACTGCCCTTCGTTGTCCCCTCCTTTCTGATGACACCCTTTAGCTGTTTATGCTCATCTTGATGGCAGCAGAAGGCACACTGTCTATGTGCCTTCACTCATGTTCTATGACATGCCATGCCCAGCTATCTGCTCTTCTCCTTTGCCCAAGGGACATATGTCTGTCCTGCAAAAAGTAAACAAAGAAGAGTGATCTGGTGTAGGAGGTGGAGACTGCTGGTAATAGAGGGGAACTGAGCTCAACTCTGCTACTTTAGGGCCTTGTGTCCCTGAGTGAATTACTCAGAAACCGCACTGTGCTCCTACACCTCCAGGTTCTCTCCAGAGCAGAATGTCTAGAAATGGATTGGTAGTATTTGGGGTGATGATTTGAGTAGTTGTGTTCATTTTCTGGCTGAAATTGCAGTGATCTCAGTGAGAGAAGCTCTTTGGGAACAGCTTGTATTCAGCCTGGGGGAAATAGCTTGGAAGAGATGGCTGAATTCCAGAGCAGGTGCAGGCAGGGTAAACATGACCCTGACGTGGGCTGGCCTTTGGGTCACTGGGTCCCCATCCAGTGGGCAGAGGGGACCTCAGCTGGCAAGAATCTGGGCAGGTAGTCCTCCTCAGGTGAGTGTTCATTTTGTACTTGGGGATGGGGTGGGGACAGAATAGGGGATAGGGCTTGACCTCTGGCAGGTGCAGAGTGGCACCCTGGCCTTTTGAGTATCTGGTGGTCAATCCAGGAATCAGGACAGAACTCTGTGGGCTGAAATAACAGAGTGGAGATGAAGGCAAACACCTCGCGGGTCCCTGGAAGTGCCACAGATGCTCTTCCTGCACTGAAGACTGTTCCATCTCCCACCTTCTGGTGGAGAGAAGACTCCCGACATTCTGCACGACTCACTCAGGCCTGGTTTCTGCATCGAGACTGGGCTTGGACACCTGAGGCCTGGCATTGTCAAAGCAGTCTCTCTTCACCTAAGATGACAAACACATTTATTAATTTGTTCAATGAAATCTATCCAGTACTTAAAACATGCCACAGACTATGAGGGACACTGCAGGTACAAAGGAACCAGATGTGGTCCTTGTCCCTGAGGGAGTTCAGAAAACTTCCTACACACTTCAGAAAGTGGGAGAATGAGCTGGGACTGATATTTTTTCCTATGAGTTTTGTCATTATGTTTTTTAACACATGCCCATCATCTGTCCTGAAGCATAATTTCCCCAATGTTGTAATAGTTGTAAGTTTAAGTTTTTAGTTTGACTTGTTGCTTGCCATCATCTGCAAAGCCCATTCTGGAAATTTGTCAAGGCTTACAAAAAACACTCATGTTTCTGAAGCCTACATGCCAAAATGAGTTGTTTTCTGCTCATAAAATATTAAAAGAATGTTACATTCTGATTGAATGCTAGACATCAAATGATAAAACACCCTGTGGTAAGAGCAAAATTGCTTTTTAATTGATTGCTTTTTGCCCATTGCCATATTAAATAAGTTACTAATATGCAGAGCTAATCTGAATACACCCTTATGTTGAAAGAAATGCCTATTTTGCTTCTGAGGAAAATTAGATTTACACACAAATCTATCTTCACTTGGCTTATATATGTCTGTTTTTCTCCATTCCTAAGTTCATGGTTCTGAGCACTTCTCAGGTTTGTGTTAATAATTAATCTTGAAGACTATGGTCACTTTTGTTCTATAAAGAAGTGCTAAGACCACAGAAATACTCAATTAAAACTCTAACTGGTGGAGAGAAAGGATGTTTACAAAAGCAGAAAGATCCAATTTTCTAGAAAGCGTTTCTCTTTTGATTTTAATTTTTGTTCTCTTGAGGAAACCCACTTCTGAAATAACAATTATATTTTGGTGTCTAAAGCAAACATATTAATGTTCAATTAATTACTAATACCAAATATTTATGTACCATTTTCTAAGGTTGCTTTAAAAAAAAAAACAGCACTATTTCCTGCTTCCTAATTATTGACATTGCAAGAAGCAAATGTTACCTCTAATAGCATGGTCCAAAATAATGTCTATTTACATTCTCAGAGCACTTCGTCAAGGTTATTCATTTGAAGTCTGTAACACTCTCAGGAGTTAATCAAGAGCAATGGCATCTATGTTTATTAGTGAAGGGAAGACCTACTTACTTGCATAATGTCTGAGTTTACTGAGCTCAAACTGGAATTTAGGAAGCCAAAAAAAAAAAAAAAAGAGAGAGAGAGAGAGACAGTGTAGAAAGCGGCAAGAAAGTAGAGTGATTGCCTTTGGGCATCTGAATGACCTATCTTGGTCACTGGCTTTATGCCTAGGGCATGTTTCTTCTCTGTTCTGAGCCTCTGGTTCCTTATTTATGAGATAAAGATAGTACATGCTGTGCACAGTTGGTTGGAGCCTTAAGTGAGATAATGGATGTTGTCCTAATTAGAAGATGGGTAATTTTGGGGCCGGATGTGGTGGCTCAGACCTGTAATCTCAGCACTTTGGGAGGCCGAGGTGGGTGGATCATGAGGTCAGGAGATCGAGACCGTCCTGGCTAACATGGTGAAACCCGTCTCTACTAAAAATACAAAATTAGCCAGGTGTGGTGGCGAGTGACTGTAGTCCCAGCTACTTGGGAGGCTGAGGCAGGAGAATGGCGTGAACCCAGGAGGCGGAGCTTGCAGTGAGCTGAGATTGCGCCACCGCACTCCAGCCTGGGTGACAGAGTGAGACTCCATCTCCAAAAAAAAAAAAGAAGAAGAAGAGAGCAAACTGAAAGTTCGGTGAGGCGAGGAGGGTGCTCTGGCATAAGCGACAGCTGGATCTAGGGCCTGGAACAGTGTCCCTTGTTTCTTTATCTTCTATATATTGGTTAAATTTTTCTTTTTAACCTGCTTTTTTCATGAGGCTCTTTTGTGAGCAAGACATATTTTCTCTTAGTTTCAATTTCAGAAATTACAAAGAAGAATACTTAGGGACCTGGACGTGGTCACATATCCCCATAGCCTGGCTTGGATAATTGGCAGCCCCAGTCAGAAGAACAGGATTGAAGATTGCGAGATGATATGGTTTGGCTGTGTCCCCACCCAAATCTCATCTTGAATTGCAGCTCCCGTAATTCCCACATGTTATGGGAGGGACCCAGTGGGAGATAATTGAATCATAGGGATGGTTTCCCCTGTACTGTTCTCATGGTAGTGAATAAGTCTCATGAGATCTGATGGTTTTATAAGGGGAAACCCCTTTTGCTCCATTCTCATTCTCTCTTGCCTGCTGCCATGTAAGACTTGACTTTTGCCTTCCACCATGATTGTGATGCCTCCCCAGCCACGGGGCATTGTGAGTCCATTAAACCTCTTTTTCTTTATAAATTACCCAGTCTTGGGTATGTCTTTAGCAGCAGCATGAAAACAGACTATTTCAAGAAAGGAGCAAGTCTTCAAAAGAAGAGGTATATTTGTGTGTGCAGGGTCAGTGAGAGTGGAGGGGGCAGGGAGTGGTACCCTTACAGAAGACAGGAGGCACGGCACAGATAAATACACATGT